TCAACTGTTAAATGCAGGTAATAATAGTGCCTACTTCCCAGGGTTGTTGTAAGGATAACATGAGACATTATTTGTAAAGTACTTTGCAAACATTTAGGGCTAAATGCTAGCTGTTATTATTAGTAGTTGTTGTAGTATTATAGAGGCTTAATAAAGTGCTATTAAATGAAAGAATGAATATACAGTCTGATAGGATGGATGACAAAAATCACCTATGATTGTAAATAGTAACTACAAAAGTGTGTTGAATGACAGAGAAGATAGATTAGGAAATATTCTTAAAGTTTGGGCACTATTAGACTAAATCAGAGTAAGTTTCATGTAGGACAGCCTTCAGGAATGGAAATACTGCAGTTTTAAGCTTTAATAGCATAAAAAAGTCTTTAATAGCCTGAAAGTACACTAAGGCTTTTGGGACACTCTATACTATATATTCTATGGCAGACAGAAGGAATAAGTTTGTCTCATTTTATAGGATACTAGGTGACACTATGAATAGAGAACTAGGTCTGGAGTCAGGAACACTTGAATTTGAATCCTGCCTTAAAATCTTATTTGGTTGAGTGACTCCAGGCAAGTCCCTTAAATCCTGCCTGCCTCAGTTTTGGCAGGCAGGGGGTAAGGGACTTGCACAGGGGTCACACAGCCAGGTTGTTGGAAGGATCAAATGAGATAATATGTTAAAAGATTGTAAACCTTAAAGCTACATAAATGCTAGATATTATTATTATTATGTAGAGAGCAATTTTTGGGGAAAAAGTTTAAAGGTCAAACAGGAAGGCCCAGGTATATAGGGAGTCCACTTTTTAAAAAAAATTCAGATTGCAGTGTATCTCACTCTCAGGCCATGAGTCAGGGCTTTTATTTGCCTACTTGTATAAAGTGTTTTGAATTCTGGAAAAATCTGATCTATTTCTTCCCAATAAATTTAATAACAATAGATAACAGACTAGTAGCTGGGTTTCATTACTATATTATTTGTGATTTAAGAAAATCTCAAATATTCTGGACCTTTTCGGGGGGTTTGGTTTTTTTTTTTTGGTCTGTAATAAGGATATTCTTGTACTTCCATTAACCTATTATTAGACTATTGTAAGAATTAAGGTTCTTGGGAAGAAGCTTTTATTAGATTCCAGATGTTACTATTATGTGTTAATATTTCTAAACAAATAAGAATACATTTACATGAATTTCACTAAATTAGAATTTTCAGTAATTGAGGTCAATGTTGATTGCTTGTTTAGAGCTCCTTTTTTTCTGATAAACAGTACAAATGGCCAATGTAAACAAACTTATAGCGCTGCATTAAAATAATATGTAAGCCAACAGTGTGGTATAGTGAACAGGAAGCTAAACTTGGAGTCCTAAAGTCCTAAATCCAAATTCTGCCTCCCATACTTAAAAATTGTATGACCCTAGGCAAATCACTTAACCTTTCTGAAATTTGATTTCCTTCTTTATAAAATGGGGGTAAAAATACCTGGATTACCTACTTCATAGGAAGATTATAAGGCTGGAGATCAGAGTTGTATTGTACTTTGCAAACATTAAAGCTATATATGATCATCAGCTAACATTATTATAGTAAAACATATACTTACAAGAAAATGATATGCTAACTATGAATAAGCATCATGTGTTGAAATATTTCTCCCAAGACATTCTATTAAGGCAACTTTTGAATGAATAAAAAAAATGTGCCAACCTAGTTGGAGATATTGTATGGACATAACAATAATCTGTTTTTCCTGAACAAATATCCTATGGTTCAGACTTTTAACAAATTCAAACTGGACTTTCCTCTAATTATCATCTAGCATAGTGATGGGCATATAGTGGGTACATAATAAATATTTTATTTATTAATTGATAAATGAAGTTTGCCCATAATAACTTATCTTCAATGGACAAAATCATTCCTGTTTTGTCAGGAAAATGTATATATTCCTTTTTACTGTAGTTAATCAATAAGCTTTTATTGAACCCCTCCTATGTGCCAGGCCATGTGGAAAATCAGATATGCATGACCTTTTTGAGATCTTCCATTTAGCATATTTATTGAGCTGTCTGCACTTGCAGTGGTCGCTTCTGCATCCAAACCAAGGTAAATCATAATTGATAAACAGAATGAGTATGTATTATGTATAACCACTTTTCTTCCTGAGCCCCCCTCTTTCTATATACATATATTTATACATATACATACATACATATATATACATACATATATATATATATGTGTATATATATATATATATATATATATATATATATATATATATATACGTATAGATACTTTTGATTAGATTTCCAAGATTTCTAGGCAAGTATATTTTTACCAGGCCATCCACTGTTAGGTCTGAGTTAAAACCTTATGCCTTACACTCTCACTAGTGGTATGATCTAGAATAAGTCCTTTAACCCCTCTTGTTTCAGTTTTCTCATCTGTAAAAATGGTGATATTACCACCTAATTCACATAATTTTTACGAGGATCAAAAGAGTTAATGTATGTAAAGTGCTTTATAAATGTCATCTGAGATTACAAACTCATTCAATTAAATCCAACAAGCATTTCCTAATATTTCTTAAGCACATACTGTGTGACAAACACTGTGCTGGTCACTGGGAGTACAAAGAAAGGCAAAAGACAGCCTCTGCTCTCAAGGAAATCTCATGAAGTATAATAGGGAGACAGTATACAAACAAATATACACAGAGTATATATACATAAGACATAGCTACAAATAAGACATATGTAGGGTAAGTTGGCGATAAGCAACAGAGAGAAGGCACTAGAATTATACTTAAGCGCAAGGATGAAGGTTAAGCTTTTTGTAAATCATTAGAAAGCTCAGTTATATAATGAAAAAAGCACTGGGTTCAGAGGTTTTGTCCAGGGTTCAAATCCAACTAGCTGTGTAGCCATAAGCAGATCATTTCAACTCTCTAAATTTCTGTTAACCTTTTGGCAAAAGGAGGATAATAATACCTCATAGAATTGTTACAAGAAAAGTGCTTTGTAAATCTTAAAATACTCTACAAATGTGAACTCTCTCTCTCTCTCTCTCTCTCTCTCTCTCTCTCTCTCTCTCTCTCTCTCTCTCTCTCTCCCTCCCTCCCTCCCTCTCCCTCCCTCCCTCCCTCCCTCTCTTTTTGTTGAGATGTGATTTCAGAGAACATAGGGTCATTGATCTGGAGATGGAAGGGGCATCAGAGTTCATAGAGTCCAACTCATCTTGTCCCCTCTTTTTATAGATTATGAAACTGAGGCTGAGGAGGTGAAATAACTTGCCCCAAGGTCACACAGGTATTAAGCATCAGAGGCATGATTTGAATCCAGGTCTTTGAGAATCTCATAACTCTGTCATATTCCTACTGAGTCAACATTCATATGCTTGTTAATCATAGAGAAGGGCTCTAGTAGAGACTGGGCATGCACAATTGAATGTCATTTATGATGATCTGGCATGAGAGATATGATCAGAATACAAATAATTACAATATGTGTTGAAATATGGTAAAAGGCATAGGAGATGTAGCAGTAAAGTGCTTTGGCACCATCAAATTCTATCTTACATGATACAGGGTGTCCCAAAAAGCTATTAAATTTAAAACTGTTCTAAGACTTTTGGGGACATTCTGTTTGTTCGTATACATGGCATCTCCCTTCCACCCCAAGTAGAATACAAAAGCTCTGTTTAGGGCAGGGACTTTATCATTTAAAAACATCTTTGTTATCCCCAATGTCTGGGTGCTTACACATTTTACGGAATTGATGACTTATTTAAGAGAATATTTTTAGGTACGTGGGTCTACCTTGGTGTCTGTGAGATAGGGTGGGATGGGATAAAGACTTGTCATAAATAAAAGGTTTTTTGAAAGAGGTACTGCTAGAACTGGACCTTGAAAAATGATCAATATTATTTTTATATCTTAGAGTTATATATCATTTTGTAGTTTATAAAGCACATCCTCGTAGCTTGAGTTAGGTAGGATACAATGGATTTTACAGATAGACATTTGGGATGGAAGGAAAGGCTTCCCATGCCTAAGGAAAGGCATCAGCAAAAGGTAGAAAAGAAAGGATAGCATTAGGGGATGATGAGTAGGCCAATTTGACTGAAATAACCACTACAGAAAATGTTGGAAAGTGAAGTTAGAACCAGATTGTGGTGAACTTGAATGCCAGGATAAGGAGCTTGAGATTTCATTTAGTTGACAATATGGAGCCACTGAAGGATTTTTAGAGCAGAGTAATAATGTGATTAGAATCTTAGAATGAGTATTCTGATAGTAGCATAGCTATAATTTGAAACAGAGAGAGTGATGAGGTATGGAAACCAACTATAAGGCTATTGCAGTAATACAGTAGAGAGAAAATTAGGACCTGAGCTAGGTTGGTAGTAGAAGGAATAGAATTGAAGAAGAAAAATGTGAAAGGGAATAATTTACTTCCAAGATACCTTGTCCCTCTGAGAGTATGATGAATCACTACTGAGACTGCCAGGACTTAGTGAATTTTAAGTCTCAATTTACAATAGCAAAGGGCTAGTCTTTTCTGAAGTGAGTGGGAATTTAGTTTAAGAAAGGAGGTTGAATAACTGAATGTGCCTGTTCTGATCATTATACTTGGAGAAGGTTGCACAAGATGGAGAAATCTTCAGAGCATGTAAGCAAATTCCATATATAAGCAGTACCTTTTCCTCCTAGATTTGAAATAGATCCATAACACTTTAAAGATTTCTTTCTAGGATGATCACAATTGGAAATATTTTAGAAGAATTTTTTTGGGATTAAGTGACTTGCCCAGGGTCACACAGCTAGTAAGGGTCAAGTGTTTGTCTGAGGCTGTATTTGAACTCAGGTCCCCTTGACTTCCGGGCTGGTGCTCTATGCACTGTGCCACCTAACTGCCCCCGGAAGAATTTTTTTAACCTGATGTTTGTTTGTAATGCTTCCTTATCTATTTTAATTTTTAATCACTTCTAAACTTTTCAGAAATATCGGAGTGCTTCAGTGGGGGCCGAAGAATACATTTATGAACAAACAGCAAGGTAGGTTGATGAGAGACGGAACTGGTTAACAAACTGATTAAGATTAAAACAGGACATTTGAGGAAAACAAGATAATTTCTAATCATCTGATCAAATATTGAAGCAAATGCATAGTATATCTAATGTTAAAATAGGCAATTACCTTAATCATTTTTCAAGTGTAATGGAAACAGTAATGGTCTGTGAAGTCAGGAGATCTGGGTTCTAGTTTCAACTCTTCCGCCAGCTGGCTGTGTGATCTTGAGCAAGTCTTGTCATCTCAGTCTCAGTGTTTTGATCTGTAAAGTGATGGAGTTGGAACATATAACCTTTAAGATTCTATAATTATTCATTTCTGCAATTCTATCATTCTATGATATCATGCTGTTGTTTTCTAAAGAAAAAAATAAATTTATAATTTGTTTATTCCAATTCATTGCAACAAAGTTAAAGCAATTCAGTTAAATAAGCATTGATTGTGTCTTCCCTTCCTGGTGCCGTGCTAGGTGTTGAGGATATGAAGACCAAAATGAGAACAGTTCTTGTCCTTAAGAAGCTTACATTTTACTGGAATTTTGTTGTTTAGTTTTTTTCAGTCGTGTTTGGGTCTTCATGACCCCTTTATGGGGTTTTCTTGCAAAGATACTGGAGTGGTTTGCTATTTCCTTCTCTAGCTCATTTTACAGATGAGTAACTGAGGCAAACAGTTAAGTGACTTGCCCAGGGTCACACACCTAGTAAGTGTTACAGGCTGGATTTGAACTCCTGACTTCAGGTCCAGTGCTCTGTCCACTGTGCCATCTAGCTGTCCTATCCCTATCTTACAAATGAGAAAATGGAGGCAGAGGCAAGTGATTTGCCCAGGGTCACATAGCTAGTTAGTGTCTGAGATCAGATTTGAACTCAGGTCTTCTTGACTCCAGGCCCTGCACTCTATCCACTGTGCCACCTAGCTGTCCTTCTATTGGAATGGGAGCTCCTTGATTTTATGACATATAAATCAATAAAAAAAAATTTATTAAATGCATTATATGCCAGTCACTATGGTAGGTATATCTAATAAGCATGTTTTTTACTCCTTGTTCTTAGAAATTTATTTTGGATCTCTTTATTAGCAGCTTTGGTTGAAGATTTTATTACCCTAAGGTGAAAATAGAAATTTTAAAAGTTGACTTTGAAAGTCACCTCTTTGCCTAGGTTTTTTTAAGAGTACATGAAATAAAAAAACTAAAAAATCAGATGGCCCCATTGAAAAGACTAATGCAGAAAATTTCAACTTGCACTTAGCATACAATGCAGAAATAAATACCTCAGTTCAAAAAGACCACTATAGTATGTAAGTATATTTCATGTACTAAAATATATATCTTCCTAAAAGTTCTATAATTTTAATGTAAATGAAGTATTTCAAATGTGTTAGGAAAATTGGCTATTTGAAGAAACTGTCATGTTTTCTTTTGTGAAGCAATTGTTTTGTGAGCAATTATTTTGTAACGGGAAAAATTATCTTCTATTATATTCATTTTTTAAGATTTTTTGTATATTGTGTTGTCTTAAAGTAGGATATTATATCATATTATATCAGCTTGGTGAAAGCCAAAGAAACTTACATATTGTAGCTTGCATTCCCCATGGGCCATAGGCTTGCACAATTAACCAGGTATATTGTGGACTTTCTTCCTAACCAAAAAAAAAAAAATTGACACGAAGGCCCCTACTGGGAATTACACAAGAAATATATATACAGTATTAGAAATGACCTTTGCCTATTTCCATCTTAAAATTACATCTTCTTTGCTATAGGCTAACAGTGTCAAATTCAAGCAAATGCAGGTCATATTTATAAGAAGGGATGTTGAATTCATTAAGCATCAGAAATGAAAATAAACAAACAAAATGGAGGTGGGAATGATAATTCATTCTTTTTTTCCCTTTTTCTCAGTAGCACATTTCAGTATACTTTGGAAGCTACCAAATCCCTACGTCAGAAGCAAGGAGAGGGACCCATGACTTATCTAAACAAAGGACAATTCTATGCTATCACCCTGAGTGAGACAGGAGACAACAAGTGCTTCAGACATCCCATCAGCAAAGTCAGGGTATGAGAATTTCTCACATTAAAGACACAAAAATCAGATAATTAAAATTCAGAGAATTTTTTCATTTTGGGGGGGTGGGGGTGGAGAGCATTGCTTTAATTTTTCTGTGTTCTTTTTCTTGAATAAAAGAAAAATGTGAGGGTTTTGATTTATCATCCTAGAGAGGTGTCAAAATAATTCCAAAGAATAATTATGGTCTGCAACATACATAGTTTTAGAATATATCAGAGGGACTTTCCCTGCTTCATTCATCAGATATGAACTACATAGCTTCTTATCAACTAATCTAAATTTATTAGGTGTGTAGCTGTGAAACTGAAATCTGTTTGGGAGCATGAAAGAGCTGCTACTAGATTCGAAAAGGGAGGGTGTGATTAAGTCAGTGTAGGTACAAACTTGGAGTTCTATCTAAAGATTTCACAGCTCACTCCCTCCCTATTCAAGAGACAGGACTGAAACCTATGTGAATTATTTGGAGGGATTCTCAGAACAGAAGCGTCAGTCCTTTTGGTGGAAAATGTAATTTGAGTTTTAGCCTCACATTGGAATGCTTCCAGCTTCTAGAATCCACAATGCTGCCAGGAAGGAAAATAATTGATAATCTCTTCACACTGAAAAGGAGTATTGTATCAGATTCCGCCATCAACACTACCATTACCAAGAAAGTTGCAAAAACCTTCAGATTTTCTGGTAAAATCTTTATGCATCTTCATCCACAGTGACTAATCACTGCCTCCCAATCCCATCTTGTTCATACCCATTGAAAGACTCATTGGGATGAAAGAACACTACTGTATGCCTGTGGCTAAATGTGGCAGACTTGAGTTTATCCCAAATAAAAAGGTCCCCATAAAATCCAACCAGCACATTATTAAGAAAAGAGGAAAAGTTTGTTCAGTTTCTCTTGGTACAGTGGCACAAACTTATTTGTTGTAACTGGATTTAATTGCTTTGTTTCAGTGTGAGAAATTGGGAAAGTTTACTGATCTGATGATTTTTCCTCTATATTATTATACTGGCCTTCTCTCTGGGGTATCTAATCCAATCCAAAAAAATCTAATCACCTATCTACTGGATGTTATTTGGTCTTGTGCCTTCTCTTATCTCTCTGCACACCCCCTCATGGATACCTCATCTGCTCCCAGGGGTTTAATTATCATCTGTCCACAGATGACTCACAGATCTATATACCCATCCCCTTCTCTTCTTTCCCACCCTACCCCCACATCACCAGTTGCCTATTAGACATTTCAAACTGATTGTCCCAGAGATATTTTAAACCCAACATGTTCAAACTAAACTCAAAATCTTTCCCAAATCACCTCTTCTACCAAACTTCCCTCTTTTTGTTGAGTGTGCTATTATCCTTCCAAGCTTTCATGTTCCTCCGTATTAATCTTGACTTTTCAGTTTCTCTTACCCTATATTTCCAGATAAGAGTTCAATTGGATTTAATGGGCTGTATTTTGATGAGGAGAAAAATATGCTCCTTTAGGATTTCAATTCATTTCAATTCCATGAACATTTATTACAGTGCCTACTATATGTCAGGCACTGTGCTAGGCACTGGAGGTGCAAAGGCAAAAAAAAAAATTCAATACAGTACCTGCCCTCAAGTTTATATTCAGAATGCAGAACTTATTTCCTCTCTGAAAGATGGCAAATCTAACAATGACTACTGCTTGTACTTAATACAATGGTAGTGAGGAAAGGAATGGACATTTCCCCCAATCACTGGCAATATTTCCCATAGGATCACATTTAATCTAATTTGGAATGTAAAACCCACTCGTGGGTGGTAGGGTGTTTCTTTCATTTATCCCTAAGGAAAATTTTCAAATATATTTTTTTAAATCCTCAGATTGGCTAAGGACTTCGAATAAATTTCTACATCAAGAACACAAGAGTATTTATATTACCTTACTCATTTACTAAAGGAGTTTTTGTTTGCAATGAGACTTTAACTTGAGAACAGCCAGAAACAAACACTGAGACACCACATAGTAAACTTATGTGTAAGTTTGGAGATGCAAAATGAAAACAAGCAGCTTGGCAGGCTCATAAATTGAGTAACCCACCACGTGTTGACTTCTCTTTGTAATTTTTCTGCTTTCTTTTAAGTTCAATAGGCACTGCCTGTGAGCTGGAGTAATGTTTATTTTTAAATTGTGTTAACCTAGCAAACTTTCCTAATAAATATAAACCCTTTGACGGAGCAATCTGTTTCCTTGTACAGTATTTCCTAATGTATAAAAATAGATTGAAATTGGGCCAGAGTTCAAATGGAAACTTGGGAAAAAATATTCAATAGTATATCCTTTCAGCCCAGTTAGAAAAAGCATAATGCAGGAAATAGGATCCTAGAGACTGAGCTTTTGAATCCAACAAACCTTTGTGAAGTGCCTACTCTGGGGAAAGAACTTTACTAGGGGCTGGGGATACAAAGGCAAAAATGAAAGAGACTCTGCCTTCAGGGTGCTTACATTCTATTGGGAAGGGGGACTACAACATATATAAAGATAAGGGGAAAAGTATAGTCAAAGTAATTTCAAGTGGAAGAGGGAATATGAGGTCACCTAACTAGATAATAGATGCTGATTTCTCTAATATTAAAAACGATAGGAGGAGCTATATTTTTGCCACAGTATTTTTTTTTTTTGGTGAGGCAATTGGGGTTAAGTGACTTGCCTGGAGTCACAGAGCTAGTAAGTGTCATGTGTCTGAGGCTGGATTTGAACTCAGGTCCTCCTGACTCCAAGGCCAGAGCTTACCCACTGCACCACTTAGCTGACCCATTTTTGCCACTGTATTAAAAGATTTTTTTGTATGTGATGGGGTGCAGTTCATCACATAGAACTGCAGCTACCACAGTTTCCTTATCTGTAAAATGAAAAAGTTGGACCGGATGACTTCTAAGCTCCCTTCCAGTACTGCATACTCTATGATTCTTTGGGTCAATATGTATTCAGGCAATCCAAATTGTTTATAACTCTAGTGATGAGCTTTCCAGTTCTTTTAAAAAATATTTTTTTCTTTCTTTCACTCTTTCCTTCCTTCCTTCCTTCCTTCCTTCCTTCCTTCCTTCCTTCCTTCCTTCCTTCCTTCCTTCCTTCCTTCCTTCCTTCCTCTCTTCTTTCTTTCCTTCCTTCTTTCCCTTCCTTCCTTCTTTCCTTTCTTTATCCTTTTTTCTTCCTTTCATTTTCCTTCTTTCCTTCCTCTCTTCTTTCTTTCCTCCCTTTTTTCCCCTTCTTTCCTTTTCTCCCACCTATACAATAAGTAATTTCTATCATTCTTTGACTTGACAGAGTGTGGTGATGGTTGTATTCAGTGAAGACAAAAATCGAGACGAGCAGTTGAAGTACTGGAAGTATTGGCACTCTCGGCAGCATACGGCTAAGCAAAGGGTACTTGACATTGGTAAGTAGGCACGGTTCTGCAAGGGGCTTTGATGACTACAGGGCTGTTGTTATGAAGTTAAGGTGAAGACTAGCAAGTAGCAAAACAATGACAGTTCAGAAACCTCAAAGGTGAGAGCATTTTTGTTCCCATGAGAGGAAAACTTATATTCATTTGTTATTGGAAACCAATGATTCTCAAACTTTTTGGTCTCAGGACACCTTTATGCTCCTAAAACCTGAGGATCCCAAAGAGCTTTTCTTTTTGTGACTTGTACCTATCACTATTTGCTATATTGGCAATTAAAATGTCTTGGGATTATGCAAGTAGTTTTGACCTCAAAGATTCCTTGAAAGGGTTTTGGATACCCCTAGGGACCCTCAAATTGTACTTTGAGAGCCACTGCTTTAAAAAATATATGTAGGGGGCAGCTAGGTGGTGCAGTAGATAGAGCACTGGCTCTGGAGTCAGGAGGACCTGAGTTCAGATACATAAAAACTCACTAGCCGTATGACTCTGGGCAAGTCACTTAACCCCAATTGCCTCACTAAAAAAAGAAAAAAATAAGAATACTATGTAGCCCAGTAAAACAGAAAGTGTCACAGTTTAGCGATAGTTATGTTGTGGAGTCCTTTCTTTGGCAGTCTGGTGAAACCTATGTGCCCCTTCTCAGAAAAATATTTTTAGCATGGTACCTGACACATAGTAAGCACTTAGTAAATCCTTGTTGGCTTGACTTGATTTAAATGCATAAAATAAAATACATAGGATTACAAAGGAAATTAATTACATTGAGGTAAGTTATCAAGTTAAGCCACTTAGCCCCCTCCTCAGTTTTCTCATCTGTAAAATGGGGATAACAATAGTATCTACCTCCCGGGGTTATTGTGAGAATAAAATGAGATGATATTTGTAAAACATTTTGAAAACCTTAAAGTATTATATAAATAATGTTATTGTTAACATTACTAGTGGAAGATATTTTTAAAAACAAGTTCACAGACCCTAGATTACAAGCCCTTGCATTCCTTCCCTCCAGAATCTGTTTAGCTCCTTTCAGGGCTTGTATTTTGAATATCTTCCACCTTGTAGATGATGGTGCTTCTCTCTGTTCACTACATAGCTTTAGTGTCTATGCTAATCTTTTGGCATGGATGATTAAGAGATGTGATAAAAATTAAGAGCCAGTAAGTACTGTTTTTAAGAAAATGAAAATATAACTCAATCAAAATAACATAGATCAGTTAACCAAATATTACGAGGGAAAGTTAAACTCTCAAGAACACAATAAGGAGGGGCAGTTAGGTTGTCCAGTTGATAGAGCACTGGCCCTGGAGTCAGGAGGACCCGAGTTCAAATGCGGCCTCAGACATTTACTAGCTGTGTGACCCTGGGCAAGTCATTTAACTCTGATTGTCACCAGGGGGGAAAAAAAACCCAAAACAACAACACAATAAGGAACAAAAAAAGAATTGAAAGGAATAGAAAGCCTAAGTACAACTTCTCCACATGAACTTTTGCTTCTTATCCATCATTGGATAATTAATAATAATAACAGCTGACATTTGTGTGGCATTTTAAGTTGGCAAAACCTTTTACGTACCTCCATTTCATTTGTTCCTCCCACCCTTGTGGGTAGGGACCGTCTGTATTACATCAAATATTAATAGAGGTCATCTCTTTTGCCGACTTTAAAGCACTACATCAACATAGGTTATTTATCCTCATTTTACAGATGAGGAAAATGAGACAATGTCAGCAACCAGATTCTAACCCAGATATCCGTGTTGCCAAGTCTAGCATGATTTCTTCTATGTAAGGCTGCCTTGTTAGTGTAGGGAAAATAAAAAACCAAAAACTTCAGAGATCATCCAGTCTCATTCACACAGAAGAGGAATGAGGCCTAGATTGGTCATTATTACTTGTCTATGGTCAAATGCCTAGTAAGGAGCAGAGCTAGGATTTGAACCCAGGCCTTTGGGACCTGAGGAAGATCTTCAGCTTGCTCAGCTTTAGATCTGCTCATGACTCAAGGGTTGTTTGCTGGCTCTGTCTGCTTTGTTTGATAAGGTGATGTCATCTTATAAAGAGAATCCTGGAGTAGGAGTTGAGAGATCTATGGTCTAGCTTTTATTCTGCCTCCACAGAAGAAGCTGTTTGATCTTGGAAGTGACTTCCTTTCTCCGGGCTTCAGTTTCCTCATTGAACTAGATGAAATCTAAAGTCCCTTCCAATTCTTAAATTATATAATCTTATAGCCCGTATCCCAGAACTACAACTGTGGGTTGTATATATGAACTAGTTGGGGCTTCTTGCTAATCACTTTTTTTTTTCCTTTTTGGCTTCTGACCTCAGGAACAGCAGAATCTGGCTTATATTCAAATCTCAAAAAAAAAAGTAACTAATTCCCAAGAGAGCACCCAGACTAAAAAACATTGAACACAGGACAGATTCATTTCAACCAACATAAAAGGACTCATCTTGAAATTGTAAATAGTCAACACAATTCTTTCTTTTCTGGAGGACCCTCCCTTTCCCCAGGGCTGTATGCAATTTTCTAGACTTATGATACTGTGCTAGGCTTGAGGATCCTTGCATGAAGAAGTGCATAAAGTCACTAAATAGTTTATCCCTTTTTCCCAGGACTCAAATAATCTACATAGCTCACAGTATATGAAGGGTAAGGTATGGCTTTGTTCCCCTCTAACTTCTTGATCCAGGATTGCTTCCCCTGGGTACTTCCTCATCCAAGAATGTCTTCACCATTTTGTCATTTTGACCCTCCTATCTGCCATCTCTATTGCCAAGAATTTCCTTGTGATGGATTTTGGACTTTGCTGGATCATTGCCCACTCTCCACTCCCCATTCCCCATTCACTATCAGCACCTTTCTCTGAATATAGCTCCTCTCTTTCCTTTCTTGTGTCTTTCTTCAAATTTTTCTGTTTCTGCTCTTTTAAAAGCCAAGGCCAAGGTGTCTCTGGCATTAATTAGTTTGCATTGAGGTGTTAACTAGGTGATAACTACCTGTGAACTCTGTCAAGGTGAGGTCAGCTATCCTGAGTTCCACAACAGAGTGCAAATGTGGTGTCAGTGGAGATGTTTACAACTCAGAACAAAGGTTTTATGGTTTTAACCCTGTTAACAAGGAGTTAACCCTGACCAGCCTTCTCCAGAGTATATCCTCCACAATCCTATGATTCTAAGGCAGCTACTGTAAGTCCTCCAAGTGCTTGTGAAAACTTGATTGAGATGTTATGTCTCATCTGAGCACTCTTATTTAACTCTTGGACAGCGTCATTCTTTCTTTGGGTCCTATTCCCCAGAGAAAATTTTTCAATTTTTAAAAATGTTTATGATGGAAAGACCTAGGAATATCATTGCATGTAGGTCAAATCTACCATCTACAATCCTCATGTTTGTCACTCCTTGAAATACGGAGAAGAAAAGATTATTTGATGCTGTGGTTGAATTATTTAATTTTCTTCTTTAATTTATTAGGCTGGAGGTAGCTAGGTGGCATAGTGGATAGAGCACCAGCCTTGGAGTCAGGAGAGGCTGAGTTCAAATCTGATCTCCAACACATAAAACTCACTAGCTGTGTGACTCTGGGCAAGTCACTTAACTCCAATTGCCTCACCAAAAAAAAAAGATTTATCAAGCTGGAATACCATAGATATTACCATGCTACCATTGAAGCAGTCTGTGCATTTTACAACTTTTGCTGATTCCTCATGTTATACCCCCACTTAAAGTTGGATTCTTTTTAAAAGTTTCATTGATGACATTTTTATGTTCTATCCTACCTCTCCTATAGTCCTTTCCCTGTAGGCAAGCAAAGTCTCAGAAGGTCTAACTGTATGCAACATTCAAATCAACAAACATTTATTAAGTAACATATAAAGACAAAAAAATGTCTCTACTCTAAAGAAACTTATATTCTTCTGGTGGAATATGAATAAACAGATGAGGAAATGCAGGGTGATTTAAGAAAAGAGGGAAATTTTAAAGGAAGGTTAGGAATAGCTTCCTAAAAGAAGTGGCAAATGAAATGAACCTTGAAGGAAGCTAGGCATTCTATGAGATTGAGGTGAGAAAAGAGTATATTCTATGTTTGGGGAAAAATAGTCTTTACACATACAACATTCTGTATCTCTAGTCCCCTACTTCTTTACCAAATATTTCATCATCTGACTTGGAGACCAAGTTTTGTCATTGCATTTAATATGAGTTCTTTGGTTCAGTTGTTTCAGTCATGTTCAACTGTTTGTGACTCCATTTGGGGTTTTCTTGGCAAAGATACTGGATTGATTTGTCATTTCCTTCTCCAGCTCATTTGACAGATGAGGAAACTGAGGCAAACAGGGTTAAGTTATTTGCCCAGGGTCACACAGCTAATATCTGAGGCTAGATTTGAACTTGAATCTTTCTGACTCCAGCACTCTATCCACTGTGCCATCTAGTGCCCAATCTGAATTCAGCCTTTTAATTTTATCTTCTTATACTCATTGTTTATATTGTTCTCCTGGTTCTGTTTTCAGATGAGGCTTTTCTTGTTTGCCTGTTTTGTTTTATTTTTTGTCTTTGTACCATCAGCTCTTAGCACATACTAGGTACTTAGTAAATGCTTGTTGAATTTATACTTCCCAAGTTTTTCTGACTTCCACATATTCATCACTTTTTCCAGCATATTATATTTATATACCATACTTTGTTTGGACATGTCTCAAATTGATAGACACTGATTTTGTTTCTAATTGTTTATGAGGTTGTTGTTTTTCCCCCCTGCCATCAAAGTGTTGCTTTGAATATTTTAGTATATTTGTAACCTTTTTATTATTGATATCTTACAATCTCTTACAATTCAATGTGGGAAAAGATTTTTTAAAGCTGAGTTTTTAATCTATGCTCTTTTCTCTTTCTTAACCTTTTGAAAATATGTGACCATTAACAGAGCAGGTTTTCCTCAGTTATAGCTGAGTTTTCTCATATAGGCTATTTTACTGTGGGAATGAATGAAG